TAGACACTAAGAAACATGGACTGAATAGAGAGATTGTTGTAATAAACCACAAATCCAATCTGTATAACCCATTCACTCCCTTCCCCATAATATTGGCCACTTCCCCTTGAATGGTCCCTTGCAATTTATAATAACTACTTATTTTCTATTTCTTTCTTTCTTTCTTTCAGCTGTGACACTTTCAGGTATGTTTACAAAATAAAGAAAAGCCCACAGCTTGCCTGTGACAGCTGTCTCAAGCTGTGAGGCTGATTCATAGCTGTGTGGACTTTTAGGCTTAGGCTGGAGTGCTGCATGTTTTGTTTTTGTTATATAGACATACCCTACACTGAAAGCTTGTTTCACACTAAAAAACCCGGTCCTTGTCTCCCTGTCTACACTACATGGCTCCATCAACGGAACCATGTAGATTTGTTTATTGGGCAAAAGGAAATGAAGCGGCGATTTAAATCGCCGCTTCATTTCCTTTTGCCCAATAAACAAATCTACATGGTTCCGTTGATGGAGCCATGTAGTGTAGACAGGGAGACAAGGACCGGGTTTTTTAGTGTGAAACAAGCTTTCAGTGTAGGGTATGTCTATATAACAAAAACAAAACATGCAGCACTCCAGCCTAAGCCTAAAAGTCCGCTGAGCCGACAAACAGCTGATCAGCTGTTTGTCGGCTCAGCATGGCAGTCATTTAAATTTAAATGAAGCGGCGATTATTTAAATCACCGCTTCATTTCCCTTTGCCTACAACCCTAATCTACATGGCTCCGTCGATGGAGCCATGTAGTCTAGACACAGCCCCTAAGAATTACCTACCTTGATTTAAAATGCCATTTGTAGCATATAGTGTACACAAATTTTAACACCTATTTACAACATGACTAGGTAAACCAATTTAAGAGGTAAACTTAAAAAACAACAAATAGTCTGGTAGCACTTTAAAGACTAACAAAACATGTAGATGGTATCATGAGCTTTCGTGGGCACAGCCCACTTCTTCAGATGTGTAAGAGATGTTACACTGGAAATTAAGTGGTGGTAACATCATTTTTAAAAGCCTAGTCCCCCCACCCCTTAGTCTAGGGGGCAGACCTTATTATAATAATAATAATAAATGGAGATCTTCCTACCTCACAGAGCTGGATGGGACCTTGAGAAGTAATTGAGTCCAGTCTGCTGCCCTCATGGAAGAACCAAGTACCATGCCTAAGATTTGCCCCAGATCCCCAAATGGCCCCCTCAAGGATTGAACTTAGAACCTGGGTTTAGCAGGCCAATACTCAAACCACTGAACTATCCCTCCTCCCCATTAGCTACATAGAAAAATTATATCAGTAAAAGCTAAGGTGTGACTTTAAAGCAATCTAGACATATCTGGATAACCCTCTGCCTGCCTTTTCAGTTTCCTAGCTCTTTGGAAGGCATAAACTAGAATAAGTGTGTCCATTTGGGGAATTATGCTGTTATAATTATATTGCTATCACTGTGAACTTCCTCTTAAAGACAGTCTACACTAGCAAAATAGAAGCTGTACTTCTCAGCTGGGGCTGTTTTCACCAGCCAAAAACTGTAGTGCAGACAGCTCAGAGTTAGCCACTATAGTGGTTACTGCTACAGTGAAACAGTCACAGACAACTGGCCAAATAGCCACATTGTTCAAGCCAACTAGTCACACTCAACCAGCCAAATAGCCACATGTGGCTAACATGTTGGACACCACAGGCGTAGAGCATCTGTCTGTAGGAAACCTTACTACAGCTCCAAACCACAAGCCCTTCGGCGAGGCAGAGTCTGCGTCTCTCTCTTGCCCTCACAGTTCTCTTGGGCTATGTCTACACTGGCTGACTCTTGTGCAAGAAGACGTCCACACTACCATGTGCTTTTGCGCAAGAGCATCCACGGCAGTGTGGACGCTCTCTTGCGCAAGAAAGCTTTGAAGGACCTTTTAGCCATAGGGCTTTCTTGCGCAAGAAACCCCTGCTGTGCGTCCACAGTGCTCTCTTGCGCAAAACGGCGTACACGTGTTAGAAAAGAGCATAGCGCTTGCGCAAGAAGCCCTGTCTTCTGACACCGAACTGTCAATCTTCTTGCGCAAGAGCAGGCGGGCAGTGTGGAGGCTCTGCGGAAGAACGGCTGTTCTTGCGCAAGAACCCGCCAGTGTAGACTTAGCCACAGTGTAGTTTCAAGACGAGTATTAACTGCGTACTACAAGTACTATGTGTGGCCTTGCTAGCAGCCAGGCTGTTTTCACATTGTAGCTTTCTGATAATGTTGCATGATTAACAGAAAGCAGTTTGGGAGAAGAGCTGGGATTTATAGAAAACAACATGAAATGCTCTGTACTTTTGGAAGTGGCATGATATCTAATACAGGCATTTCTGAAGTGCCCATTGTGACAGATTGGCAGATAGGTCTGCACTGAATGGTGATTTCCATTTTGTTTGGTCAATGCCACGTTGTACTTCAGCCTCCATTTTGAGATTAGAACACCTCTTTTATGTTGAGAATGGACAACAAGTGAAATGACTGTAAATGAGAGAATGAGTTCTCAGGGACCTCAGTTCTGAATGGCTCTTCCGTGCCAGAACAATGGGTTTGCGGCCAGGAAAATCCACTGACTTTAAA